TGAAGCTGCCGATTACTACACGGGCGCCGCACCACCCCAGCAACCGCAGGGCGCATACTACCAGGGTCAGCCATACGGACAGCAACCTCCCCAGTATGGCCAGAACTATGCGCCGCCGCCTCAGGGACCGCCGCCAATGCAGCAGCAGAACGGCTATCAGCAAGATAACAAACAAAGCTTCGAACAGGCGTTCAAACTCGACAAGCCCAAGTACAACGATTGGTGGGCGGGACTACTCTTCATCGCTGTTTTCCTAGGCTATGTCGCAGTCAGTGTGATTTCAATTCGGGGATATTGTAAGTACTCAATTTGCTCAGCATGGAATGCGCCTGGAATGAAGACTAACGCGCGACGCAGCGCGTACCAATAGCGGAGGCATCTACGGCGGCGATACCAACAACTTCGCTCTCAACTCGAACACCATCATCCTCTTCGCATTCGTCCTCGGTTTAGCTACCGTCTTCAGCTATGCATACATGTGGGCTGCGCGCAAGTTCACCAAGCAGTTCATCTGGATCACCGGCATACTCAACATCATCTTCGGTTTTGTCACGGCTATCTACATGTTGTCCAGGAGGTATTGGTCTGGAGGCATTGTTTTCCTGCTGTTCAGCGTCTTCTACGTTTTCTGCTTCATCAGCTGGATTCCCAGGATCCCCTTCAGCGTGCTCATGCTGCAGACTGCCATCGACGTGTCGAAGAAGTACGGACACACCTACATCGTATCGCTGGTCGGAGGACTGCTCGCTGCTGCACTGGGCGCGTGGTACTCCGTCACGCTGGTCTCCATCTATGTTCAGTATACACCCAACGGTGCCAATTCGAACTGCAGAAACGGTGTCGGCGACTGCGGAAGCGGCAAGGTAATTGGCTTGCTCGTTTTCGTTACCTTCGCCATGTACTGGATTTCAGAATGGTTGAAGAACACAATTCACACCACCATCTCCGGTGTATACGGCTCCTGGTATTTCAACCCTAACTCCATGCCGAAGGGCGCGACCCGCGGTGCTTTCAAGCGGTCCGTGACCTACAGCTTCGGCAGTATCAGTCTTGGAAGTTTGCTTGTAGCTATCATCCAGACTCTGCGTCAGCTTTGCTCGGCCGCTCAGCGCAATGCTGCCGGTGATGGCAACATGGTGGGCGCGGTCCTGTTTTGCGTCCTGGGTTGTTTGATTGGCATCCTCAACTGGGCTGTCGAGTTCTTGAACAGATACGCATTCAGCTACATCGCGCTTTACGGAAAGAGCTACGTCGCTGCAGCGAAGGATACCTGGAAGTAAGTTCTTCTGTCGCTTAACACCCAGTAACATCGAGACTAAATATGATAGGATGATCAAGGATCGTGGTGTCGATGCGCTTGTCAACGAGTGCTTGATCGGACCTGTGCTTTCCATGGGAGCTACCTTCATCGCATATGCCTGCGCGCTCCTAGCCTACCTTTACCTTATCTTCACATCGCCCGAATACAACTCAGACGGCGCCTACACTCCGGTTGTGGTAGCCTTCTCTTTCCTGATTGGTCTCCAGATTTGTAAGTTGTCAGCAATATTGGCAAAGCTCATACTAATCCCTCTCAGGCAACATCTTCACCACGCCGTTGAGCAGTGGTATCGATACCATCTTTGTCGCAATGGCCTGGGACCCCGAGGTTCTTATGCGCGAGCACCCAGACCTCTACCACCGCATGATAGCCGTCTACCCGCACGTGCAACAGGCGATTCATGCATAAATTGGGGCTGCGGACCTTCTAAACACTTCGTCGGACTATTTGGAAATCCCATAAAATCTTTATAATCACGAGATACCCACTTCAAATCGATCGCGATGGTATTGCGACACAATTTTCTGCCCATGGCGGGGCGCCCTGACAGCAACGGAGATGGATGGGCTTGGCGCAAACTAAAAACGGGAGACCGAACCGGCGTCTCCACAAGGCCACTGTCGGCGCTACGACTTATGACGTCTACAGCCCCATCCACATCGTGGAATGCGCGATCCAGGCGAAGCATAATGTTGGGCGTTGCAAGCTATGGAGCGGCTTCCACGGCCGGGAAAGCTCCGCCTCGTGAGGCATCACAAGTAAGACGTTGGGCATTACCTACGAGTGAGATATTAATATATTCTGTTCAACTTCATGTTGGTGGGCTGCCCGCCATATTGCAAGCGACACGTCAAACACCCGCGTCTGCGGTATTGCTTTTGCACTGTCTCGCAGTTCGTGCCTACCTCCATTCGCTCCTAGCGGCCAATCGGGTGTCAATAATAAACGTCACCGCCCTGCGGGGTCTATCCTAAGCCACCTCACTCATCGCGCTGGGCGCCCCCAACATAAACACCACCTGTTCCCCCTCTCTCACCATAGCCTACTGCACCTCCACACTCACCTGCACACCGCCCGCTAGAGAACCTTCTGGCCAGGTAAGTCCCTCCCAATTACATACGTAACCTGTAAATCCCGCCGGTTCCCTACTACTTATACCCCACCAACGCGCCTTCCTGCTCCACCACCAACACAATAAACACTTCTCTTCCCTACCACCCCTCAACTCCCTACACCTCACTTCCAACACGACTTCAACAAATAACACTCCCGTAGTTCAATACACACCACCCCCACTACACACATCATGCCCTACGAGAAGAAGGCAGTCCACTTCGGTGGTGGTAACATCGGCCGTGGCTTCGTCGCCGAGTTCCTCCACAACTCTGGCTACGAGGTCGTGTTCGTCGATGTCATGGACAGCATCATCGAGTCCCTCCAAAAGACCTCCACCTACACCGTCACCGAGATTGGTGATGACGGCGAGCGCAAGTTCACCATTGACCATTACCGCGCTATCAACTCCAAGCACGAGATGGACAAGGTCGTCGAGGAGATTGCCACCGCCGACGTCGTCACCTGCGCTGTCGGCCCCAACATCCTCAAGTTCGTCGCTGAGCCCGTCGCCAAGGCCATCGAGGCCCGCAAGCTCGACTACCCCATCGCCGTCATCGCCTGCGAGAACGCCATCAACGCTACAACTACATGGAGGGGTTTCATTGAGGGCAAGCTGAGTGAGGAGACCAAGAAGAACATCGACAGCAAGGCTCGCTTCGCCAACTCGGCCATTGACCGTATCGTCCCCCAGCAGCCCCCCAACGCTGGCCTCGACGTCGTCATTGAGAAGTTCCACGAGTGGTGTGTCGAGCAGAAGCCTTTCGAGAACGGCGGCAAGAAGCCGGATGTTAAGGGCATCCACTACGTCGACGACCTCGAGCCCTACATTGAGCGTAAGCTCTTCACTGTCAACACCTCCCACGCCACTGCCGCCTACTACGGACACCAGAACAAGGTCCAATACATCCACGAGGTGCTTCAGGACAAGAAGCTCCACGACACTGTTCGTGACGCTGTCAAGGAGACTGCCCACCTGATCGTCACCAAGCACGGCGTCAAGACATCAGAACAAGACGAGTACGTCGAGGAGATCATCAAGCGTATCTCCAACCCTGTTCTCAAGGACAACGTCGAGCGTGTCGGCCGCGCTCCTCTCCGAAAGCTCTCTCGCAAGGAGCGATTCATCGGCCCCGCCGCTCAGCTGGCTGAGAAGGGTGAGAAGGTCGATGCTCTCCTCGGCGCTGTCGAGCAGGCCTACCGCTTCCAGAACGTCGAGGGCGACGAGGAGTCTGCTGAGCTTGCCAAGATCCTCAAGGAGAACTCCGCCGAGGACGTCGTCACCAAGGTCAATGGCATCGAGAAGGGACAGCCCCTCTTCGACCGCCTTGTCGCCATCGTCAAGAAGGTTCAGGAGAGTAGCTGAATCGCCGTTGGTAGACTCTGAGTAGTCGCTGCGGTTTGACGGAACCGGATTAGTCAGGCACTTAGAACCTACCGCGGTTTATTTACAGCAAGGAGGATGGAAAGCGCCCTGAGCGACGGCTTTATGTGGCAAAACTTTTGTGACATCGACCGGAATCAATGTCCTATATAATGACAACGAGACATGAATCATGAATATACCCTTTCAGTTACCTCTCTTCTCTGGGCAGCCTTCAGTTCCATGCGTCTTTGCTCTTCCAACCCCCACATCAGCCTTGTCGAGGTTTTCTTATTGCAATCAAAGGGGCTGTAAGATCTCCATACTTTTGTGCCCCAACGTCGTATTCTACATGTCTCGGGGCTACATGGGCGACATTATGCTGACTTTATTGAAAATCAGCCTTGGGAAGCTCTGTCTGTTCCACCCTGCGACAGTCGGCCTCCCTCCTTTCACTGAGAAATAGGAGTATCTTTAGCGTCTCCTTCGTCATGGGGTCAGCTTCCGCCTCGGGTCTCGAGAGATTCGCACCATCAACTGACTATGTTGGGCCAGTCACAATATCTTGCAGCAACTCAATATGCGCTCATCAACAGTATCGCACATGGAAAGAATCGCTTTATCTAGGATTTTCGGGTCTCGGGTTACACGCGAACAACCGAGAAATATATGTAGTGTCGTTGCGTAATTTCGCCCCCTTCGGAAACGTCCAGGAACGGGCGCGGGTATGACTGACAGGGATGCCCAGGGGCGGCGTTTGCGACATCCACCTCGCAAGGCAAAGATTTCTTACGAATCTTGAGAAATTGCAAGGCCTTCCGGGCGAAGTGATTGTTCTTGTCGCTTACAATTGTGGGCACTTTCGCGATGTGTGTTTCGAATGTATCGCCTTTACTGCGCGACTACTTAGAGGACCTCATCGCCAAAGCAACTCTTTACATTCTTTTCCCTCTGTTCTTCCTGGTTCTCAGTTCAGAAGCCTCTCTTCTTTAATCAACGCCTGAGTCAAACTAGTCGTTTACCGCGTACGTATACGTTTTCCATGTCGGAGAGCAACCCCAAAACATGGGTTGAAGACTACAATGCTAATACGAGTATCAGACCGACCAGCCTAGTGCATATTCCAGCATACGAACACTCAATTGTATTGTCTTCTTCTCCCAAGATTTGCATTAGAGCAACAGCTTTTCGGCTACAACAACAATGTTACCAACCTCTATCTTCGCTGCTAGCAGCTTCATCGCTTTTGGAACCGCGTTCCCGCTTTACTCTCGTGTCGCAACATCTACTACTCTAGCTCCGCGAGCTGCTTACATCACTTTTGGTGGTGACGGGTCAACCGCTGCGGGATGGCCGAGGCAGAGCGAATGGAAGTCTTTCGAGGACGCCTGGTATGTTTCCATCAAGACAAGAGTATGTTATTTACTTACACATTAGTAGGGCATCCAATCAAGACACTATCAGGGGTTCTTGCGAAAATCACGGCTGGGGCGACAACAACAGCGACGCCGAAACTCAGGCCGTCAAGGACAGTATTGAGTCAGAGTCAGGAGCTTCTGGCGTTCCCAAAGAGCTCATTCTCGCCATAATGATGCAAGAGTCCAAGGGCTGTGTTCGTGCTCCCACTACTGCGTCCGACGCGCCCAACCGTAAGTGTCTCTTCCTGAACTACGTGAGATACATACACTGACTTTGTACACCAGCGGGTCTTATGCAAGGCGCAGGTACTGCCTCCTGCCATTCCATCTCGCCCTGCCCCGCCAACGTTATCTATGACATGATCCACGAAGGCACCACCGGAGAAGGTCTAAGGTTAAGTCTGAAGAAGGCGCTGGACGCCTTCAGTGCCACTCCGGACGACAGCAAGTACTACAAAGCAGCGCGTCTCTACAACTCCGGCGATCAGGTCACAGATCCAAACTTGGGCCAAGGCGCTACTGCATGCTACGCTTCAGATATTGCGAACCGTCTCATCGCACCTTTCGGGGACAGTAGCTGCGACAACGGTGCTGTCGCTAGCCTTGCTCAGACTGCGGGCCGCGAGACTGTCAACAACGACAACAACAATAGCAACGACGATCAGCCACTTGATCTTGAACAACATCAGACCGTGGATGAACAGCCAGCGCCCAAGCAGAATGCCGATACCCAGACTGCTGACAGTGGCGTCCTGGACACTAGCATCACTGGCGCTGTGGAAGGCTGCATCAAATACTATACACCTTCGGACGGCAGTACCTGCGAGGCCGCACCAGTCCCTTTGGCCACGTTGCGTCAACTTAACTCACTGTTGAGCGAGGATTGCTCTAACCTTTGGGCCGGGTACGGTTACTGCATCGCTACCTTAGCGTTATTGCAGCCCAACTAGAGCGTGGAGACTCATGGAAGAGATTCCAATTCAACTCCGCGCTTCCCAAACGCTGCCACCTTAATCGAGGGAAACTCAGGATACTCTGGAGCCTACAATGGAGCCAAGTCTTCTAGTCTGGATATGTTTACTCTGTTGTATGCTGCAGGCCTGTTCAAATTTTCCCTTGTACCAGGTGCTGCTCTCTTCTTTTCTATACAATCACTTTTATACGCGTTTTTTGCCTTCGTTTCTGTATAATTAGACTAGTGAGCATCTAGAAAGACGAAACACTTTATGCTCTACAAGACCACTATCCCCGCGGGTGCTCAAAACCAAGTCGCACTTTGCTGCATACACGTCGCTAAAACTTGATGAGTTTGTACATCCTGATGTGATGTGTACTTCTACCTCGGTTTTTTGTTGGTATGTTGCGACAGGAATAGTAGCTACTCCTAGAGCTGTCGCGCTCCTGAGTGCCGTCTTTACATTGCTCAGTGTGTTGAGCAGTTCAACATTTCATATTCGGCTTGCGTATTTGTATCGTGCACAGGCTTTTCAAGGGTTGGATAGTGCATACAATCCTAATGAAGCCCGACCATGGCCAGTGCGGTTGCGATTGCGTTGGTTACGCTACATGACTATGTATTCAAGTTGCGCGACGGCGACGGAGTCACCCTACTGTCCAGATACAATCAACTGAGTAATATCATCAATCTCCTTGACCGTCGGCGTCAGGTTCTCAAAACCATCTTTGGTAACGAGCACGTTATCTGCAATACGTTAGCATACATTCAACACCCTTCATTGTGTCAGCATACCTTCGATCCTCACACCACCCACACTCCAGTACTTGTCCAGCACACTCTCGTCAATGTACTTCTTCTTCTCCTCATCCTTGAGGTACGGCTCAATGATGAACTTGCAGAAGTAGATACCAGGCTCAACGGTAATGACGCTGCGTTCGGGTAGGGTTCCCCTCTTCCTTAGGTACCTAAACATGACGTCCTTGTCCGCGTAGTTGGGGTCGCCGCCAGAGTCGTGGGTGTCCATTCCCAAATAGTGACCTAGACCATGAGGGAAGAAAGCTACGCTGATTCTCTTGTTGAAGAGCTCCTCCGCATCGCCCTTCAAAATACCGAGGTCCAAGAGTCCCTTGATAGCTATCTTATGGGCGAGCTCGTGCACGTGGTCCCATACGACACCAGCTTTGAGCGCGTTGGTGCACTGATGCTGCATGTCTAGAACGATCTTGTAGATGGCGAGGGATTCAGTTGTGAATTTTCCTTTCACGGGGAACGTGCGTGTGATGTCGGAAGCGTAGCAGTCGACCTCGCATCCTGCGTCTAACAATAAAAGGTTCTGATCCGAGATGGGAGCGGCATTGTTGACATAGTGCAGCGTCGCGGCGTGTTCACCGGCTGCGACAATCGAGTGATAGGCCTGGTTCTTCGCGTTGCGCTCTACACACGCCTTGAGGAATACAGCCTCAAGTTCGCATTCGTTCTGCGCTTTCGACGCAGCCTTCATGACGGCCTCGTGGGCTGCTGTTGAGATGACGTTTGCTTTGCGGATGAGGGCGATTTCATAGTCTGTCTTCGTGACGCGGCAGTACTCAATGGCGGTCTTGAGCTGCTTGAACTCCTTCTCTTTGTAGGAGATAAATGTGATGTGATCGGATACCTGCTCCGGAATAGCGTAAACGGTTGATTGCGCGGATTCGGATTGGCTTGCTAGGTGAGAGTTGACGTCTTTGGTAGTCAGACATTCGTCAATGTCGTACTTGGCCTTGGCCTCTTCCGGGCTCATGGGCAGACCAGACCAGATAACCTCATCCGGCTCTACAGGAGGGATGAAGAGTGTGAGCTTCTCGGTGGCTATTTCGTATACAAGATACGAATCTGGCAGCTCGCAGCCGCTGAGATAGAAGAAGTACCGTCGCTGACTAGATGGAAAGGGTCAGCGTATGCTCACCTCGACCCAAATGATGCCTACCGGAATGGTGCCTCGCCATCGTTGTCCTGGCAAGTACATTAGTTTGTGTTGTGACCAGCATCATCATGAATGCATACTTCGTTTAACTTCTGCTTCTGCGCTTCTAGGTAAATTGTTCCATTCTTGTCTCCACCCTTCTCGATGATCCACTCTGCGACTTTCTTTGCATGTGCCTTGGCCGGGTATTTGCCCTTTAGCACCTCTTCATAGTTTTCGGCAATCGCCATCTTGTGCACGTTGGTCCAGCTTCCGCTCTCTGCAGATAAGGTGTAAAAGCAAGGTGTTGCAGTCGCTGAGTGTGTTGGTGATGGCAGACGTGGTCGTAGAGTGTGTCGAAGTGAACGACTGATTTGAGGTAGCAGGGCACGCATGGGGAGCTTGAAGGAGCTTTGCTGTTTGTTAGGCGCGCTGATAGCTACAGGCCGCGAAGGTGGGGTGGTGGGGTGAGCTTGCATCTGACGGGTAGCCGCGGTCTACCAGTCTCGATCATAACAGGAAGGTGCGACCCTTCTGAATTTGATCCTCAGTTGCACATCGCGAGTATTTGTCGTGTATAGATATGCATGTCGCTTCGCTAATTTTCGTAGTACTACATAATCATGTCTAAATTCTTAACCCACAACAAGTCGTCTGACGCCGCAAAACACGCTCGATCCCTAAACGCCGGTCCATTATGCCGTTGTCAATCCATGCGATAGATCAATGATACCTCCAAAATCGCAAGTGTCCATGCTGCAGCCGAGCTGACCAATGCAGTATGGCTCCTAATACTGACCCCAAAGCCTTTCGCACGAGAGGTGGGTGTTTGTGCTTTGTCGTACGGTGGAGCATAGTCGCTTTGTTTCGTCCGATGCGTTCGTTGTCGAATCGGTAATGCATGTGATCGGGGGAGATCTAGTCCTGCCAGCGCCTAAGGAATTTGGCCATGTCGTCGGTGGCGTGAGGAGCTGCGGCAACCTAAAAGATGTCAGTAAAGCTTCTAGCATCTCTATACACCCAAAAAACGTACCGTGTTCTCCATGCTCTTAACAGAGAAAGTTTGACTCTGCGTGAGCGTAGTCAATTGGCTTGGGATCGGCAGCCTCGACTTCGCAATCTTGACGCTGCTTGTAGGGTACAAAGGCTTTGTGTTCTTGGCGGTGATCTTGGTGGGCGGTACAGGCTGCATGGGCGCGTAACGCGTCAGACCCGTCTGCATCGCGTAGTCCACCTTGTATACGTCGTCATCAACCGGATCTGGGTCAGCAGGATTCGTCCCATCGGTCGTCGTGTCTACGGTCGGCGGCCCGGTTGTGGTATCGATGTCCTTGACGGCGGCTTTGACCGCGGGGCTCAGAATGTTCTTGCCCGTCATGCCACTGAACTGGAAGCGATCGGAGTAGGTGAGGAGCTGACCGCCAGTCTTACCAACTGCGATCATCTTGATGAAGCTATGGCGGTCAGGTTAGTCGGTCGTTGAGCTGGGTTTCGGGTGGGAACTTACTAGGCATTGACGTCTTTCAGGTCTTCAGACTGAGATGTTTCAATTCTGCCCGAGGCTGTGTTGCCCGCTGTGAACGCGCCGCTTGTTGTGATGACGCCCACTGGGAACTGTTTCCCCTCATTAGTATCTTTTCGTTGCGCCTGTGCTGATGCCAGTCTTCGCAACCTACCTGCTCAGTGCCATCATTGCCTCCCACGATCACCTGCAACTCATACGTTGTCAGGTCTGCGAGCTTCGGTCCTGTGCCACCTTCTTCCCATTTTACTGTGACGGCTCCGCCAGCCGCAATCTTGTCGCCCGCTTTCGGTGATGTGAATTTGATCCCGGCACTGACGAGTGGAGAAAGGGCAGCGACGACTGCGGCAAAGGGTAGTATTATCCGCGTCATGGTGAGGATTTGTGAAGGCAGAGAGTGACGGGCGGGCAGCGGTGTGGCGTGAAAGCGAGCGTCGAGCGCTGTCCGATGGTAGAGCGAGGGACACTATACACACAATGTATGCGAATCTTGAATGCGATGTAGGCAGACGTCGAGTAAAGGCAGGTAGAGGCGGGTGTTGGGCGGTGGCTGTTAGTGTCGGGTGAAGGATGCAGTCTGGAATCAATCAAGCAACATGCGGCGCGCCAGGGGCACGATCATCGTTGCCGCGCACGCTAAACTGTGATTGGCAAGGATGGTCGTCTCATTGCGACGCCTCAACACCATGGAAAAAGGACGTACATGATCCAAGTCAACAATCTGCCAATTGCAGTGATTGCCATTGTTTCCATGGATACTCAACAACACTATCAGCAGCTATCTCGGCCTGCACATGACTTGCTCGGCTCGCATCTCCTCCACTTGGAGCCGGTACCTGAATCTACATTATCGGGTCTCCACATTCTACCGCCAAAAGTGGGTTTCAATGCAGCCTGTGTTTGCACGTCGAAATTTTTGAGATTCTCTCCAGTACACCTCTTGGTGTCTATAGTACAGACGCTTCTCTGGCCGTCATGCCCGTGTTTTGCTACTCAAACGCCATTGCCATGCTAGATGGGGATATCCTAAAATTCCAAACAAAAGGAGATGCTTGCCCTAGTGTCGTTCCAATTCAAACAGCCTGCGCATTCCGTACTTTTGGGTTGTTCATCTTCAGGCTGAAGGATGTCGGTAATCTACAGGTCATGGTTGCAGCCTGTCCCGCCTTTTGCAGTTGAAGTGTCAACTCCTTGAGCTTCTCTGGTGTGAAGATTTGTACGTCAAACGACAGCAAGAACTCTACGCATAGCTCAAGTCGGCTGAGTGCTGCCTCGTCGACACCTCCTACGGCAGCAAAGCGCTTCTGCGGCCACCTGTGATCTTCTAATGCCTTCATCGCTACGAGAGCGCAAGCCAGTATGAGCCGATGCATTGTCCGGTATGTGAGGGGAACGCTCCTATCGATAACGCATAATCGCAACATGTACGACCCAGCAGCTAGCCAAACCCCCGTGGACAGCGGACAGAATCTCTGAATGCGGTTCATGTACTCCTCGACGCCGACTTTGGGCACCGTCTTGGAGAAAA